AAAAATGAAGAAGCATTGGTAATAAACAAGATTGACCAAACTCGTAACGATTGCTCCAACTCTCGGTGTTGAATCAGAAAGTCAAACGAACCGGAAATGAAACACGGTGATCGTACACGCAATTTTACAGTTATTTGTTGCAAGCATCGACGTGTCGAAACTGCCCAAACGAATTTTCTCGATTGCGAAATATTGATATTACCGTTTATAAAAAAAGAGGATCAAAATAGAAAACATCTTTCGTTGAGAATAACCGAATGTTTTATTATTTTGTTTGGATATTTCATGTCGACAAGGTAAATAAAACATCTCTCATTTAATAAAACTGGTTCATTTTTTTTGTTTTCGAGACAGGGGGAATTTGCTCTTCATGTGCGAGACAGTCCACAGAAGTGCCGCTGGCCGGCTGGGCATCGATAGTATACCGGGGGTAGTACCGATCCGAAACAAGCTAGTTTTTCATTTCAAACTTTGAATGAAACTGTTTTAATTTGTTGTTAAAATCTTTCCAGTCTCTAGACGTTACATTCAGATGATATTCAACTTTTTTTTTTTTTACTTTTTCGCAACTTCACAAACCAAGTTGCGATGGTACCCCTGTCTATTAGCCCTAAAGATTGCGTACTCGGTAATCTGAACATAACATATGGCCACTTTCCTGTTAGCGATTTGCAAGTAGCTATTGTCTTTTTGCTGAGACAGTTGGTGGTCGTTATACAAAGGTTAAAGTGTGAATAGGTCTACAATAGGGTGGTCGCTGGTCGCGTTCGACAGGTGGTCGCTATATCCAGTGTCTTTAACGTGTAAATTGCGAAGGGACTGTACTAAGGTGGTCGCTATGAGCAGGTGGCCGCTCTGCACAGGTGGTCGTTAACACAGGTTTGACTGTATTACATATGCAGAGTACATATAATGCTGACAATTATATCGTTAGAAAAATATTAAGTACAGATCATCAATCCATTAAATCACCCCCACCTTGAATTTGGAATCCGCCACAAGCCCATTGCACGACAGCTGTATTTTGGAAAGTTCAAAAATTGATTGATACTGAAGATACTGGTTTAGTAATTTGTAAGGATGTTCCACATCTTGGTGCCAGTCCCGATGGACGTGTGACATGAGTTTATTGCGGTGAAGGTCTATGTGAAATCAAATGCAGCAGCAAGTACCAAAATATGTATCCGTCTGATATTTCAACGCATAACCCAAATTACCATGTTGCGGTCGATGAAGACGGCAATGTTTGCCTGAAAAAGACATCGTCCTGTTACACACAACTCCAAATGCAACTCACGATCTGTCACCTGACATGGATTTTGTGCTGTATACCAAGAAAGGCACCACTGTCGAAATCTGACTTGGATATGGTAACATGGCAGCCGGTCTACGACTGTTTGGAGTCGAATGATGCGTACACAACTTTCTATGAGATATTTTATAACATTTCGTCTAATCATCTTTGTACAAAAACATTTCGTCAGTCTAAAAATGTACGCAAACCCTGGATGTCTTATGGACTTGCCAAGTCAGTCCGCACAAAACATAAGTTGTTTTCAAAAATGAAAAATAATCCACGCAGTGATTATTATAAAACTAAATACAAAACCTATAGAAATATTCTGTTAAAACTCACAAAGTCAGCAAAAAAACATCATTATTCAAATAGAGTACGATTGGCCCAAGGTAACACAAACAAAACATGGTGAGTGATCAATGATCTACTTAACAAAACACCAAGCAAATTAATACCCCGTATCTTACATTCAAGTAATCCTAACAAGCCCCCTTTAACAAATAATTCTGATATTGCGGAAAAATTTAACAAGTTACCCTAATTCTTTCTTTTTCCACCCAGTCTGTGAGCAAGATGTGTCAAATGAAATTAATTAAATTAAATTAAATTAAATTAATTAAATCCACCCCAAATTAGTCATACAAGCTGCAAATGTTATCTCTCACCCGTTAACCCACATTATCAATTGTTCACTGAGCCAAGGAATATTTCCAGATGCACTTAAAATAGCCAAAATAATCCCAATTTATAAAAAGGGGGCCACCACTGAACCCAGCAACTACAGACCAATTTCAATTCTCCCCATTTTCAGTAAAATTATCGAATCTGACGGAGTCTTCGTTTTTCAATCGATGTATAACTGCGGTTGAAAGATGGTTGTCTCCAGTTATTGTACTCAAAAAGTGCTGGCACAGGATGGTTTTCAGTTAGCCCTTTGCTACCTGGAAAATGCCGTGAACAAACCCGGGAATATTTATTTGGCATCCATTCGAAACCACTGGCGTCGAAGAGTTGATTTCTTGGACGAAGGAAATGCAGAAAAGTTACGTCTTTCATCTCGGGATATTTTGCTGTTTTTTTCTTTTTAATAGCACTCGAGGAACAGCCTGGGGCATTACAATACCAGTTAACCATTTTGACATCAATTTTTTGCAAAACAATTGTAAAAAATAAGACTTCGGCATCAACAGGAACTCTATTGCTTCAGGTATTGCTTACAGCAGACGCCGCTCAAATTTCAACCCCCACCACGAACGTTGAACAGGCTGTTATCTGGGTACTTTGGGAACGCCCTCTATCGGATTTCGTGAGAAAAATAGTAACTTGGAAATTAGGAATTGACTTTACATTATTATGAATCCAAAATATTGAGCATAAAGTTTTTTATTGTAATAACAATAATGACATTGTTCTACAAATTTAGAATGGGTAACAATTACAGGTCATAGGTTACAGGTATCAAGTTTCATCATTCAACATCTGTATTTGAATACATAAAATATAAAAAAAATTCTTATGTAATGATAGTAGAAATAATGTAATCAGAGTCCTAGGCTAGATTATACAGTGACTGTATTCAGAGTCCTAGGCCAGATTATAGTGACTTAATTCTGAGTCCTTGGCAAGACTCTAGGTGTCATACATGTCAATGTTATGTTAACCCAGTATAACCAGCTGTATGTCTCTACTATCTGAAATATTATTGTATATTTGACAGGAATTATGCAAGATGTCATCAGGTCTGTTTATAAACCGGGTGAATGGAAGGTAATACAATTCATTAATATATTTTAAATTACTTTACATGAGCTATCTGATACATTGTTCAGTGGCAACCCTGATGATACTGCATCCTCCTTCATTTGATGCAAATATAAACACAAGTAAAATTGACATCCAATATGATTCCTGGACTGAATAAATTTTAGCTGACAGTGTATGAATAAATGTTTTGTTTATCTGCTAGGTACTGGTTGTGGATCAACTCAGTATGCGTATGGTGTCAGCATGCTGCAAAATGCACGAAATAATGGGTGAAGGAATTACAAGTAAGTAATCACTGTCTAATGATTTACTGATAAGATATATCATCAGCGAATTGGTTTGCAATTTGACAATTCTATATATACCATATACAGTGATTTAACACCACTCTAGAGATACTATATAAAGTGATTTAACACCATTCTAGGGATACCATATACAGTGATTTAACACCATTCTAGGGATACCATATACAGTGATTTAACACCAGTCTATGTATACCATATACAGTGATTTAACACCAGTCTATGTATACCATATACAGTGATTTAACACCAGTCTATGTATACCATATACAGTGATTTAACACCAGTCTATGTATACAATATACAGTGATTTAACACCATTCTATGTATACAATATACAGTGATTTAACACCAGTCTAGGGATACTATATACAGTGATTTAACACCATTCTAGGGATACCATATACAGTGATTTAACACCATTCTAGGGATACAATATACAGTGATTTAACACTATTCTAGGAATACCATATACAGTGTTTTAACACCATTCTAGGGATACAATATACAGTGATTTAACACTATTCTAGGAATACCATATACAGTGATTTAACACCAGTCTAGGGATACAATATACAGTGATTTAACACTATTCTAGGAATACCATATACAGTGATTTAACACCAGTCTAGGGATACAATATACAGTGATTTAACACTATTCTAGGAATACCATATACAGTGATTGAACACCATTCTAGGAATACCATATACAGTGATTTAACACCAGTCTAGGGATACCATATACAGTGATTTAACACCATTCTATGTACAGTACTCATTTCGCCCAACCTCCCGCCCGCTTCCGGATTTCGATCTCTTTTTTTTCGCTCGCTTTGTTCAATTCGACCGCGCAATTTCCGCTTTTTTTTCGACCACACAAATCCGGAAGTATCCGCTCGCGCAATCGCTCGCTTGCTCGCCTGACAGCGCAACCGCCCGCATTTACAGTTTATTACCTACTGTTTCATGTACAAGTGTATCATTTTTGTTTTTATGATGTTAAAATAAGAATAAATACAATCAGAAATTTATAGAACGACCGGATCACACGGCCATATAAAATTGGTAATAATACATACGCGTAGCAATAATGTCCACCATAAACAAGAGCAAACCAAATATGTGAAATCAAATACGACACTGACACAGACACAACTAATATGAAATAAAACCATTCTATTTTTGGTGGAGGGCGAAAAATGTCTACTGTAGAGTACGGTATTCATTGAGTAACCGTGTGTAGGGTGACTGTTGTCATGCACGCATGGTTTGGGTTATCCCTGCGTACATGGCTGTGTAGGGGTGATATTTACATTGGGCTTCTTACACCACCCCAACACAGAGAAGGTCCCGATGAATAGGAGCGCCTCCACATTCACAGACCTGTACATAGAGCTAGGTTTGGGTTTAACACGGGTCAAGTTGTAGTTATGTAAATCTATGGCACCTATAACAATTGAAGAATATCTGCAGGAATAGTAAGACTGTGAAAAAAACGACCAATCGATTGTTATAGAATGACCGTAGTGTACAATTTGTCAAACAAATACAATACTTGCAAATGTAATGTCGGCCAGCGCCCATCTTATTGTCCGAAGTTGTCGAAGCCGACATCAATGGAGATCGCATTTTTTAACAAGGCGGCTGGCAAGCGGACTAACACGTTACATAAACTTGTTGAATTACAATTATGGTTTTTATTTTTGCGCCCAATGTCTCGTTATAAAATAAAGGATTCAAATTTTGCAGGGTATTCCGGTTTTTGCGAACTCTGGGCGAAACACTTTCATGAGCTGTACGTAGTTCACTTACAGCCAAAACAAAGTCAGCTTGGACATTGTGAGACGTGACAAAACAAACGCTGCCAGTAATAGATTACGTGAATAAAAGAACAAAATAAACGCAATCAAAGGCGCCGACCACACGCTTTGGAAATAAATAGAACTCGTTGCTAAAAGGAATCGCACCTGCATCTCGACGACGTCTCCGGTCATGAGCAGGGTTTGCCGCGTCTTAGAACAATTGAAAGTAAAAAGGAATCAGTGTCGGGGACCATCAC